ACGTTTTCTAACGATAGAAGTGCGAAGGTTAGGTTAGGTTAGGTTAGTTTAAGCTAGGCAGCGTCGTGAAACTACCAAAAACGACGTCATCTAACGAGATAGTGTTGTTTTATTGCGAGTATTAAACTGCGATAGGTGAAATGTTGTGAAAGTACACAAAACGGCTTGAACAAGCCAGATACTGCGTGTTGTACCGTTACAAGTGCGAAACTGCTATAATGTGATATTCTCGTTAAAGCGCATGCAAGCATCGTGAAACCTTAAAGAACGATGTCATTTAGCGAGATACAGCGTTCTGTACTGTAATAAGTTGGTGAGAAACTGTGAGGTCAAGCAAATATTGTAATTGTGAACGAAACAGTGTAATTGAGCGTCTTTAGATACAAGTGCGAATGTTAGGTTAGGTTGACATATCAACCATCGTAAAACCGCATTAAACAATGTCACTTAGTGAGATGTAGTGTTTTTCAACATTACAAGTCGGGAACTACGATATCTAATGTGAAAGCGCATGAAACCGTCGTAATCTTGTAGAAAACATTGTAAAGTTGCGAATAAAACGTTTTCTAACGATAGAAGTGCGAAGGTTAGGTTAGGTTAGGTTAGGTTAAGCTAGGTAGCGTCGTGAAACTACCAAAAACGACGTCATCTAACGAGATAGTGTTGTTTTATTGCGAGTATTAAACTGCGATAGGTGAAATGTTGTGAAAGTACACAAAACGGCTTGAACAAGCCAGATACTGCGTGTTGTACCGTTACAAGTGCGAAACTGCTATAATGTGATATTCTCGTTAAAGCGCATGCAAGCATCGTGAAACCTTAAAGAACGATGTCATTTAGCGAGATACAGCGTTCTGTACTGTAATAAGTTGGTGAGAAACTGTGAGGTCAAGCAAATATCGTAATTGTGAACGAAACAGTGTAATTGAGCGTCTTTAGATACAAGTGCGAATGTTAGGTTAGGTTGACATATCAACCATCGTAAAACCGCATTAAACAATGTCACTTAGTGAGATGTAGTGTTTTTCAACATTACAAGTCGGGAACTACGATATCTAATGTGAAAGCGCATGAAACCGTCGTAATCTTGTAGAAAACATTGTAAAGTTGCGAATAAAACGTTTTCTAACGATAGAAGTGCGAAGGTTAGGTTAGGTTAGGTTAGGTTAGGTTAAGCTAGGTAGCGTCGTGAAACTACCAAAAACGACGTCATCTAACGAGATAGTGTTGTTTTATTGCGAGTATTAAACTGCGATAGGTGAAATGTTGTGAAAGTACACAAAACGGCTTGAACAAGCCAAATACTGCGTGTTGTACCGTTACAAGTGCGAAACTGCTATAGTGTGATATTCTCGTTAAAGCGCATGCAAGCTATCGTGAAACCTTAAAGAACGATGTCATTTAGCGAGATACAGCGTTCTGTACTGTAATAAGTTGGTGAGAAACTGTGAGGTCAAGCAAATATCGTAATTGTGAACGAAACAGTGTAATTGAGCGTCTTTAGATACAAGTGCGAATGTTAGGTTAGGTTGACATATCAACCATCGTAAAACCGCATTAAACAATGTCACTTAGTGAGATGTAGTGTTTTTCAACATTACAAGTCGGGAACTACGATATCTAATGTGAAAGCGCATGAAACCGTCGTAATCTTGTAGAAAACATTGTAAAGTTGCGAGGTAAAACGTTTTCTAACGATAGAAGTGCGAAGGTTAGCTTGAGTTATTTTTAGTAGTAGTAATTTATTTTATTTCTTGAAAGGCAAGAAAAAGGATACAGAAGCAAAAGGCGTTTCATACGCCTGACAAAGGCCTCTGCACCTGTAGTTCGTCACAGATGCACTTTTTTTTTTTTTTTTTTTTGCAGATACAAACAAGCAACAAAAACTAACATGTCATGTACCACATGAGCGTTAACAAAAGAAATACAGGAATAAAAAAAAACAAGCAACATATAATACACTTAGCATAATACAGATGCAGGAACATAAAATGGATGCATCGTATACCATAATGCACTACTTACTTTCTTAACATTAACATTCTACCTACTCTTTTTACACAATATAGATTAGTGATGATATGTTATTTCTCTTTTGATCAAAATTTGTTTAACTTGTTTTTTAAATGTCCCTAGGCTGACGTCAAACTGCAAGCCATTTTGGAATTCATTTACTATTCGCGTTGATTGGTAATGCAGTGTTTGCTTTCCGTAATTTGTCCTGGTTCTCGGTAAACGCTGTAAGTTTCTTCTTGCAGGATAACGTTGGTCATTTTCTTTTTGTTTATACCACTTATTTTTGTGTACCTCTTGAAGCAGTTTAAAATAATATATTTGGTTTGCCTTTAAGATTTCATGTTTATCAAAGAGCACTGAAGTGCTCAAACGGTCTATTCTACCCTGGTAATTTTCATAACAGCGAAGTATTTTCTTTTGTAGCATTATAAGTTTGTTATAATTTTTCGCTGTTGTGGTACCCCATACTAGTACGCCGTAACAGAGTCTCGAATAGAATAGGGCATTGTACAAATTTTTCTTCAGCCACTGAGGAATGAGGGAACCAATTCTGTACAGGCATCCTACCGTTCCCGCAAGTTGCCTAACTAAATGATTAACGTGGACATTCCACGTTAAGTCTTCACTGAACCATACCCCAAGAAATTTTTGATGTTTTTCTCGTTTTATGATGTTCCCGTCAAAGCTTATCTTTATGTCATATTTAACATGTTTATTTATTGGGCGAAATATAATATATGTCGTCTTCTTGGCATTTAACTGTAGCTTGTTTTGTTTAAGCCAGTTTGAGAGTGACGTCATATATTCATTTACATTTTTTTCTAGTATTTCTAAGTGATCTGATGTGAAAAATACATTTGTGTCGTCTGCATACATAATAAGCTGTGGTGAGGCGGGTATACATACAATATCGTTAACATAAAGCAAAAAGAGCAAAGGACCCAGTATAGAACCCTGCGGAACTCCTTGGGTCAACTGAAGCCGACTTGATGTGGCTGTCTTCATTTGTACTAGTTGGTACCGGTTATGCAAATAGTTTTGTAATAGCTTAAGGGTGACCCCACGTATGCCGTACCGTGATAGTTTCCGTAACAATATATCATAATGTATTGAGTCAAAGGCTTTTTTTAAGTCCAAAAATAAACCAAGCGTAAATTTCTTATTTTCCATATTTGTAATTATTTGATCTTTAATAATCGTTAACGCTTGTTCAGTAGACTTGTTTTTCTGAAAACCATACTGACATGTTGTGATGATGCCATACTTATTGGAAAAGATTAACAACCTGTCGTGAATAACGCCTTCAAAAACCTTTGATAATGTCGAGAGTACTGAAACGGGTCTATAATTTGACATATTATTAATGCCACCTCCTTTGTAAATTGGGGTTACCCTTGCAACTTTTAACTGTGCCGGAAACACGCCTGTTTTCAGTACAAGATTTACTATGTAAGCAAGCGCCTCGGATATTAGCGGACATATCAACTTTAGTTCAGCTGCGGTGATTTCGTCTATCCCTGGCGTCACATTGCTCTTAAGTTTTTTTATTAGGTTAGCTATCTCAGCACTGTCAGTAGGAAGCATAAAGATTGAATTCTGCATAGCTGTTGTTTCTTCGAAACACGAGTCATCTTCTCTTTCAGAAAAACCACTATACGCGCCCGCATTGACGAAATGACGATTTATAGCATTGGCTAGGTTCTCTCCACGCAGCACCCCGTTTTCCTCTTGCATTTCTGTGACGTCATGTCTTGCTTTCTTTCTCCCAGTAAGGGCATCCACTGTTTCCCAGACCCTTCTTGGGTTATCACATATGTTCTGAAATTTTTTCTGATAATATTCTCGTTTAGCCTTTTTTAAGTCTGATGTAAGTGCGTTGCGGTATTTTTTGTACTCGGCAAATGCTTCGGGTTCTCGTAGGCTTAAAAAATTTTTAAAAAGGCCATTTTTTATTTGAATACGTTTATAAAGCGAGCAGTCTATCCAAGGTTTCCGGCAAGTTTTTCTCTTTCGAAAAGAGACTTCTTTCCTAGGAAATGCCGTGTTGTAACAGTGACGTAATGCATTCAAAAAACCATTATAGGCCTCATCAGCATCTTTTATCTTATATATATCATTCCAATCTACTGCTTTGACGAGCTGAAAGAATAAGTTCTTACTTTCACTATTTATGTTGCGTCGGACGAAGGTTTCCTTCTGTTGCTTTTGGTGTTTCAATAACAAGGGTATGTAACAAAAAACTGGCAAATGGTCGCTAAGATCACTTGACACGATACCGCTTATGATCTCCGCTGGGTTCGAATTTGTAACGCATATATCGAGTAATGTTGCACTGTCCCTGGTCACTCTGGTAGGGGAACATACATGATTTACACAACCAAACGCAGAAAGCAGTGTCTCAAAATGTACGGCGGGCGTATCGTTTGCAGCAAGATTGATATTAATGTCCCCCATGATAACATAAGAAGTGTTGTGAAGTAATGGGGAAGATAGGAGTGTATCTATAAACTCTAAAAAACGTGTTTTGTGCCCTTGAGGCGGCCTATAAATGACAATCGCTACAAGTTTATCAACCTTTATAGCCAAACATTCAAAATCTGTTGTGATTACCGACAGTTCTAGTTTTTCATGGGTATATTTTTCTTTTAAATAAATTGCAACTCCGCCTCCTTTTCTGTCCGCGCGGCAAAGATGCTCAGATCGATATCCAGGAAAACTTGGGACATTATTATCATCGGTTAACCACGTTTCAGTGAACATGAGCATATCAAAGTTTATTGCCGCGGTGTCTAGAAAAATGCTTATGTCGTCTATTTTACTTCTAATACTCCTGGCATTCACATGTAAAGCAGAAAGGAAATTTTTATTTTGTGGATAACACGATTTTAAATCAAGAACATTGTAATACTTATGAGTTTCACTGAAAACACTCATAGTGAACAACGAAAAACAACATTGGTACACGCAAGATACACTCAACAAACTCAGCACATTTTTTCTATGTCATCTTGACAGGTCACATTAACCACAGCAGAAGATTCATCCTTACGGGCAAGCACTCTACCACCAGAAGTCCAGACAAACTTCCATTGTTTTTCCTTTTTCCTTTGGATGGCGGCTGAAAGCAGCGCCTTGTTAGCTTGAGTTAGGTGCTCATTTACAAAAATAGCAGCCCCTGGTCTAAGACCAAGCATTGAAGTGTCTAATCTCCTCTTTCTACATTTAGCCAGAAAATCATTCCTCTTTCCACGCCTGACGAACCGAACAAGAATGTTCTGAATTGTAGGTTTTGGCGTGCGAACCCAGTGACAAATGTCAATATCTGACGTGTCAACGGTCTCACCCACGCTATCCCCAATCTTTTGAAGAATACTGAGAGCATCACTACCAGGTGGTATGCCTTTAATCTCCAGGTTATTTGAACGCTGATACTGCTCTAGCTCATCACACTTCTTCGACAGGCGCTCATTCTCTGTCTTTAGTTTCCTGTTTTCACTAAGCAGTTCCTTTATTTCCTGCCTTAATGTCCTGATATCTTCTGCAACGTCTTTAACATCATTGCATACATCAGAACAAAAAGACACTCCCTCTTTCAGTTCCTTCATTTCTACCCGGAAATCACGCTTGAAGTTCTCAAACGCCCTGAACAGGTCACGTATCTCTTTAGAATCTGAAGTATCTTTTCCAGAGCCCTTACTTCCCATTTCCAAAATGTCATGCACAACAACAGCAAAGACGCTATGTTCGGCAGCAGTGCACTCCTATGCCAGAGAAACAAATGGGACTAGCCTCACCTGCAAAAGCAGTAGATTGAGCGTCAGAGGTACGCCTTTCTTGTGCACTGCTGCCGAACTAAGCGAGCCGCAGGATTCCGCCGTCTTTTCTACTGTTCGCCGTCACTCCCTCCGTGTCAGCTGACTTGATAGGCTCATGCGCCGAAATGGCTGCGCAGAAACGCCGAAGCGATGTCCGGGGGCCAGCGTGTCTTGCTTGTTCGTTGAAGAAACGGCAGTATTTCCACGAGGCTCGGTAGGCCGACTTGGCAGGGAAATCTGCAAAAGCAGTAGATTGAGCGTCAGAGGTACGCCTTTCTTGTGCACTGCTGCCGAACTAAGCGAGCCGCAGGATTCCGCCGTCTTTTCTACTGTTCGCCGTCACTCCCTCCGTGTCAGCTGACTTGATAGGCTCATGCGCCGAAATGGCTGCGCAGAAACGCCGAAGCGATGTCCGGGGGCCAGCGTGTCTTGCTTGTTCGTTGAAGAAACGGCAGTATTTCCACGAGGCTCGGTAGGCCGACTTATGTTAGTTATGTTAGTTTAAGCTATGTAGCGTCGTGAGACCACCAAAAAGGACGTCATCTAACGAGATAGTGTTGTTTTATTGCATGTACGAAACTGCAATAGGTGAAATGTTGTGAAAGTACACAAAACGGCTTGAACAAGCCAGATACTGCGTGTTGTACCGTTACAAGTGCGAAACTGCTATAATGTGATATTCTCGTTAAAGCGCATGCAAGCATCGTGAAACCTTAAAGAACAATGTCATTTAGCGAGATACAGCGTTCTGTACTGCAATAAGTTGGTGAAAAACTGTGAGGTTATGCAAATATCGTAATTGTGAACGAAACAGTGTAATAGAGCGTTTTTCATTACAAGTACGAATGTTAGGTTAGGTTAAGATATGAACCGTCGTAAAACCGCATCAAACAATGTCACTTAGTGAGATGCAGTGTTTTTCACCATTACAAGTCGGGAACTGCGATATCTAATGTGAAAGCGCTTGCAAACGTCGTTAGGTTAGGTTAGGTTAGGTTAGGTTAGGTTACGTTAGGTTAGGTTTGGTTAGGTTAGGTTAGGTTAGGTTAGATTAGGTTAGGTTGGGTTGAGTTGGGTTAGGTTGGGTATGTTAGGTTAGGTTGGGTTAGGTTAGGTTAGGTTACGTTAGGTTAAGATATGAACCGTCGTAAAACCGCATTAAACAATGTCAATTAGTGAGATGCAGTGTTTTTCACCATTAAAAGTGGGGAACTGCGATATCTAATGTGAAAGCGCTTGCAACCGTCGTTAGGTTAGGTTAGGTTAGGTTAGGTTAGGTTAGGTTAGGTTAGGTTAGGTTTGGTTAGGTTAGGTTAGGTTAGGTTAGATTAGGTTAGGTTGGGTTGAGTTGGGTTAGGTTAGGTTAGGTTAGGTTAGGTTGGGTTAGGTTAGGTTAGGTTAGGTTACGTTAGGTTAGGTTAGGTTACGTTAGGTTAGGTTAGGTTAGGTTAGGTAAGGATAATTTGGTTAGGTTAGGTAAGGTTAGGTTAGGTTAGGTTAGGTTGGGTTGGGTGTTGTTGGGTTGGGTTGGGTTAGGTTGGGTTAGGTTAGGTTACGTTAGGTTAGGTTAGGTTAGGTTAGGTTACGTTAGGTTATGTTAGGTTAGGTTAGGTTAGGTTACGTTAGGTTAGGTTAGGTCAGGTAAGGTTAGGTTACGTTAGAATAGGTTAGGTTAGGTTAAGTTACGTTAGGTTAGGTTAAGTTAGGTTAGGTTAGGTTTGGTTAGGTTAGGTTAGGTTAGCTTAGGTTAGGTTAGGTTGGGTTGGGTTGGGTTAGGTTGGGTTAGGTTAGGTTAGGTTAGGTTAGTTTGGGTTAGGTTAGTTTAGGTTAGGTTAGGTTAGGTTAGGTTGGGTTGGGTTGGGTTAGGTTAGGTTAGGTTAGGTAAGGTTAGGTTAGGTTAGGTTAGGTTACGTTAGGTTAAGGTATGAACCGTCGTAAAACCGCATTAAACAATGTCACTTAGTGAGATGCAGTGTTTTTCACCTTTACAAGTTGGGAACTGTGATATCTAATGTGAAAGCGCTTGAAACCGTCGTAATGTTGTAGAAAGCAATGTAAAGTAGCGAGTAAAACGTTTTCTAACGATGGAAGTGCGAAGGTTATGTTAGGTTGAGTTATGTTAGTTTAAGCTAGGTAGCGTCGTGAAACTACCAAAAACAACGTCATCTAACGAGATAGTGTTCTTTTATTGTGAGTACGAAACTGCGATAGGTGAAATGTTGTGAAAGCACACAAAACGGCATGAACAAGCCAAATACTGCGTGTTGTACCGTTACAAGTGCGAAACTGCTATGTTGTGATATTCTCGTTAAAGCGCATGCAAGCATCGTGAAACCTTAAAGAACGATGTCATTTAGCGAGATACAGCGTTCTGTACTGCAATAAGTTGGTGAAAAACTGTGAGGTTATGCAAATATCGTAATTGTGAACAAAACAGTGTAATAGAGCGTTTTTCAATACAAGTGCGAATGTTAGGTTAGGTTGACATATCAACCGTCGTAAAACCGCATTAAACAATGTCACTTAGTGAGATGTAGTGTTTTTCAACAGTACAAGTCGGGAACTACGATATCTAATGTGAAAGCGCATGAAACCGTCGTAATCTTGTAGAAAACATTGTAAAGTTGCGAGTAAAACGTTTTCTAACGATAGAAGTGCGAAGGTTAGGTTAGGTTAGGTTAGTTTAAGCTAGGTAGCGTCGTGAAACTACCAAAAACGACGTCATCTAACGAGATAGTGTTGTTTTATTGCGAGTATTAAACTGCGATAGGTGAAATGTTGTGAAAGTACACAAAACGGCTTGAACAAGCCAGATACTGCGTGTTGTACCGTTACAAGTGCGAAACTGCTATAATGTGATATTCTCGTTAAAGCGCATGCAAGCATCGTGAAACCTTAAAGAACGATGTCATTTAGCGAGATACAGCGTTCTGTACTGTAATAAGTTGGTGAGAAACTGTGAGGTCAAGCAAATATCGTAATTGTGAACGAAACAGTGTAATTGAGCGTCTTTAGATACAAGTGCGAATGTTAGGTTAGGTTGACATATCAACCATCGTAAAACCGCATTAAACAATGTCACTTAGTGAGATGTAGTGTTTTTCAACATTACAAGTCGGGAACTACGATATCTAATGTGAAAGCGCATGAAACCGTCGTAATCTTGTAGAAAACATTGTAAAGTTGCGAGTAAAACGTTTTCTAACGATAGAAGTGCGAAGGTTAGCTTGAGTTATGTTAGTTTAAGCTATGTAGCGTCGTGAGACCACCAAAAAGGACGTCATCTAACGAGATAGTGTTGTTTTATTGCATGTACGAAACTGCAATAGGTGAAATGTTGTGAAAGTACACAAAACGGCTTGAACAAGCCAGATACTGCGTGTTGTACCGTTACAAGTGCGAAACTGCTATAATGTGATATTCTCGTTAAAGCGCATGCAAGCATCGTGAAACCTTAAAAAACAATGTCATTTAGCGAGATACAGCGTTCTGTACTGCAATAAGTTGGTGAAAAACTGTGAGGTTATGCAAATATCGTAATTGTGAACGAAACAGTGTAATAGAGCGTTTTTCAATACAAGTACGAATGTTAGGTTAGGTTAAGATATGAACCGTCGTAAAACCGCATCAAACAATGTCACTTAGTGAGATGCAGTGTTTTTCACCATTACAAGTCGGGAACTGCGATATCTAATGTGAAAGCGCTTGCAAACGTCGTTAGGTTAGGTTAGGTTAGGTTAGGTTAGGTTACGTTAGGTTAGGTTTGGTTAGGTTAGGTTAGGTTAGGTTAGATTAGGTTAGGTTGGGTTGAGTTGGGTTAGGTTGGGTATGTTAGGTTAGGTTGGGTTAGGTTAGGTTAGGTTACGTTAGGTTAAGATATGAACCGTCGTAAAACCGCATTAAACAATGTCAATTAGTGAGATGCAGTGTTTTTCACCATTAAAAGTGGGGAACTGCGATATCTAATGTGAAAGCGCTTGCAACCGTCGTTAGGTTAGGTTAGGTTAGGTTAGGTTAGGTTAGGTTAGGTTAGGTTAGGTTTGGTTAGGTTAGGTTAGGTTAGGTTAGATTAGGTTAGGTTGGGTTGAGTTGGGTTAGGTTAGGTTAGGTTAGGTTAGGTTGGGTTAGGTTAGGTTAGGTTAGGTTAGGTTACGTTAGGTTAGGTTAGGTTACGTTAGGTTAGGTTAGGTTACGTTAGGTTAGGTTAGGTTAGGTAAGGATAATTTGGTTAGGTTAGGTAAGGTTAGGTTAGGTTAGGTTAGGTTGGGTTGGGTGTTGTTGGGTTGGGTTGGGTTAGGTTGGGTTAGGTTAGGTTACGTTAGGTTAGGTTAGGTTAGGTTAGGTTACGTTAGGTTATGTTAGGTTAGGTTAGGTTAGGTTACGTTAGGTTAGGTTAGGTCAAGTAAGGTTAGGTTACTTAGAATAGGTTAGGTTAGGTTAAGTTACGTTAGGTTAGGTTAAGTTAGGTTAGGTTAGGTTTGGTTAGGTTAGGTTAGGTTAGCTTAGGTTAGGTTAGGTTGGGTTGGGTTGGGTTAGGTTGGGTTAGGTTAGGTTAGGTTAGGTTAGGTTGGGTTAGGTTAGTTTAGGTTAGGTTAGGTTAGGTTAGGTTGGGTTGGGTTGGGTTAGGTTAGGTTAGGTTAGGTAAGGTTAGGTTAGGTTAGGTTAGGTTACGTTAGGTTAAGGTATGAACCGTCGTAAAACCGCATTAAACAATGTCACTTAGTGAGATGCAGTGTTTTTCACCTTTACAAGTTGGGAACTGTGATATCTAATGTGAAAGCGCTTGAAACCGTCGTAATGTTGTAGAAAGCAATGTAAAGTAGCGAGTAAAACGTTTTCTAACGATGGAAGTGCGAAGGTTATGTTAGGTGGAGTTATGTTAGTTTAAG